GTAAGTTAAAGTTTATTTTACGAGTTTATTAAAAGCGTTAAAAACAGCGATTTAATATAGATATTCGTCGAAATAAACGTTTTTATTAGGATTTTCCTACAATTATTTTTTAGACAATGGACACGATTCCTGTACAAAATTACGCAAAGTATTGTGAGAATTATGAACGAAAATATACGTGTGATAAATTCAAATGAATTTATTAATTCAATTGTAAAATTATTTTTTACATTATTACTACTTCAAGAAATATATATCGTAAAATATATCGAAAGAAATTTATTTCAGGATGGTGAATGAAATACTTTCAATTTTTATTAGAACATGTCCCCTTTTCGCACAATACACGATCATCGAGAGAACAGAATGTGTAATAACGTTACGTACGTATCTCTAACAACGTCTCAACGAATGCAACTATGTTTCTTAAACGAGAAACGCTCTCCTAAGCTCTATTAGAATCGCTGACACGGAAACGGAAACGTTCTAGAAACCGCGGCATTAAAGTGCATCCTCATTACCGCAATTCGTAACGCATATACACAAAACGGGCAATAAATCTTTCATAACACGGACGTCTGGAATGGAAATTATTATTAGAAACAAAATAAAATGGTTTCGAAAATTGTGAAAAAGTGTGAAATATTATTTTTGCAAAAAATTCAATCAAACGAATTATAAATTTATAAAATTATCCTAAAAATATTCTAGAATTCATTAATAATACATCTACGTACAGATCTAAATTTATCATTAGAGGGACACGTGTGAAAACAAAACTCGTTCTCGAAAGAATTTATTAATTCTTTGTTCATATAGATAAGCGCATTGCGAGAAATATGTTGTTTTTTTGTCGATGATTCTGATTTTCCATGAATCTCAATGTCGACATTTTAATATAATTCTTAATGTTATTGCTGTTAGTGTTAGTATTCGGGAAATTTAAATATCGTCGATTTTTAAATACTATCAATAATAAAACTAAGATTATTAAAATTAATACTGACGTTACAAGAATCATCGAGAAGAAACTTAATAAATATTGAAATATAGAAAAAATTCGTTATTTCTTTTTACTCACCGATTATATTAACAAATGTTTCGTATATTTAGACACAATTTTTGACACACGATTCTCGAAATGAGTATACTTGTATCATATATTGTGAATATTATTGCACGACAATGAACGTACTAATTATAATAATAATATCGAGAAAGGAGTTCAGAATTCATAATTCACATTGGAAGACTAAACAATTGAACGCAAAACTCGACAGTGGTTCGAAAGATTGTAAACCCAAATAATCGATTATCGACGTTACATATTGGTATTAAGGTATACGATATAACCTATTTACGTTACAATACATTTATTGTACACGTTAAATAAATATTTTTACTTTTCTCTAATTCTGTCTAAATCCGTAATATACGAATTAAACTATTTAAATTGAATTATTCATTTTATAATTCAATTTTACGTAAGTATCCAATAATTTTAACTGGGATATTACATCTTTACGCGTATACTAGACAAAAGAATATGAAAGCTCGATTCGCATGTGGCGAACAATAAACTTGAAAATACCAGCGTTATCGATTTCGCGCGAAATTGCGTCAGATTACGATGCAGTTCGAGTGAGTGCAGGAAATGATAAGCGGTGAGGTCGTAATCGTACGAGAACATTCTCATGTTTCCTATAACCATTCATAATTGGCCGTGTCGAGAAAAGACGCACACACACCACGGGATTGTATTATTACATTAGCGATTGACAATGAACATAAAAATGAGGGAAGCGGTTGAACAGATCCCATACAATCGTTTCCATTGCTCGGCTAAATTAAAATTCTTCGTCTCTTGTTCCGGATATGACGGCTTACGAGTTTCCGTCCTCGCTGTAGTACCATATATATCGTACCATTCTAACGAATAACGTTATCCTATATCTCTCTATCTATTATTGACAACGTTAATGCTCAGACGGTTTTGATAGAAACATTTCCTCGTTTAAATATAATTTAAAGATGATTTCCAAGTAAATTCTACGATAATATTATTTATATGTTATTTTATTTTATTTACAAAAATTATTATCCAAAGAATCTGAAAAAAAAAATAATAACTCGAAAAACACGAGAAACGCGCTACTTTCGTTTCACCGCGCATTTCACCCTTTATTTAAGCGTACACGACACAAAAGATCGATACCTGGATAGGATCGTGCTTAATCCGTGCGACAAATTCAGGAACAGCAAAGTTTTGAAAAGAAACTTTGAGGGAAACTCGGGCGACGAATGAAGCCGCGTTTGCGGAGAATCCTCGGCAAGTGGGTTCGAACACGCGTCCCTCATCCCCTTTCGTTTTTCCCCTTCCGTTCGAGGTAAGAAGCGTGGTGCACACGCATGCACTCTCCCATCCCGTTCCCCCTCCTCTTCCTCAATTTTCGAGCGGCTTGAAAACGCCGCTCCCTTTTGAACGCTTCTCGATCGCGGACATCGTTTTGTCCGATACGAAAATCCGGGGAAAAGCGGATTTCCCCGGACGCGGGCAAGCTTTTCAATACGCCGGATGGATCGCTTTACATTCGACTTCCGGGGGAGAGTACCTGAGAACCGACCGGGATATTTTTCGGGGGCGAGGAAGAGTGGAAAGGGATGAAAGGGAGAAACGAACGGTACCCAGCTGCCCCTCCTTCCCATTCTCTTGGCGCCAGGGAAAAATATTTATATTCTTTCACCGGGGCCCGGGCATTGTGCCACGCGGAATTCTAATTCGCAGCACTATTTCTGATATACAGTGCCGTTCAAAAGTGCTGATATACAGCACCGTTCGAAAGTATTTTAATTAAAGTATATTAATTGCTCGTCGTAGAAAGTAATTCTAATCTAGGATTTCTTTAGAATATTATAATCATTGAATCAGTTCGAAATATAGTATAGAAATATATTGAAAGTAAAATAACGATTTGAATCGATATTAATCTCTCGAGGAATAAGCGAAACTTTGTCGAGAAATTACGGAGATATATAATTTCTATCATTTTATTAGCAAGCTTCCAATTATACTGACACATTTGTTTACGATAGTTTTGTCATTGGGTGCAATGACGCGATTACAGAAGAGGGCCGAGCCAAAAGGGTGTCGCAACGCTGGAATGTCTTCAGGCGTTTTCAATATTAAAGATGACTAGGTAACAAACGATGACTAACAGCGCTGTATCATCGAATGGAACTATAAGCTACAAGTATATATGCGCGCGAGTTCGTTGTCCTTCGCGGTTAAAAATTTCTTTGTTACTTTAACATTCCGGAAGTGAGCCATCCCGAAAAAATTTATCAATCACCAGTTCACCAAAGTTCCAAGAATTTCTCGATAAAATTTTCGAGAAAACGTTTCAACAAATGTTTCGAACTAATATATACACGTGATTAATGATACAATGATTCGTACGTATATCGATACGTAAGAAATACGGTACTTACGTTCGAGTACGTTACAGCCATTCACAATTATTTATTTCTCGAAAATGAAATTGAAGCGAGGAAGTGGTATTATATTTACGGTTTCAAGTGGCATAAATCTCGCGCCAACTTTCGACAGCGATGAAATTTCAAAATATCTCCCCATCGCCGCCATAAATCGTTCCATTGTATAAGATGATGCTGCGTAACGAGGTACGGGCAAATATGGCAGTGTACACGCAATCCGAACAATTTGCCGATAAAATCGCGATCCGGAAGAATAGTCGCTTCGAGCGATCGTTCCTCCTTGCATGTCTAATATCGCCTACGAAACGATCTTTGCCATCTTCGAGACCCACACCGAGAATCGACGAAAAAAAAAAAAAAAAAAAAAAAAAAATCATTGCTGAATCAGCAATGCAAACGAGAATTCGCGCCTACTTTCACGTTGTTCGAGGAAAGAAAAGGCCTTCTCTGATCCCTGACGCGGTGTATATTTTTCCATCTTTCTTTCGTACACGTTTGTTTGTTTGATCCAAATAAAAACTGAAAAAACTGGATTTCCTCAAAAGGATGTTCCATAAGATTCATAAGTGGTTGAGAACCATCGTTTTAACGAGTAATTTTACGACCTCGCTTAACATTTTCAACATTTAAGGCCTTTTTTCCTTATTTCCTTTTATTTATCTAATTTTCTGCAATCGTAAAACGCCACGCGTTTACATCGCCTGTTCAAGATAATCTTCTCAAATCTTTTACTCATTTTCATCTTAATTATTTTCGCTTCACTTTCGATCCGTTCAACGATGTCTTTTTGGGGATATTTTTTCCCGCGCGTCAAGATCAATTTCTCGGGTTTTAATTTCCGTTAGAACCCGATGGTCGTGAGAAGCACGAAGCGAATTGGATATCGGTAAATATTGAGCATGAGTTGGAGCATGTCACGAGCACGTTTGACTTCTGTTCGAATTGCCAAATCGCTTCGAAGCCCGGTATGGTGTGTTGCCAAATCCCCTTGGATCGTGTGTGTTAACGTACGCGTGTACTGAAGTACGGGTTACTTAGAGCCGGGGAGAAGTAATTTACCGGTATAAATTACGTACTTTGCAGCTTTCGTAAGGATAACAGGTTTTTGCGCGATGCTTAGCGGCGCGGCTATCGAATAATTCAAAGGCCAATTGGTTAAAATCTAGTTGAAATTGCGCGAAAACACCTTCCGCCTTTTTTTCAGTAATTGAATTACTTAATTTCAGGTAATACGATCTCGCACGAGTCGACTCGAAATCGTTAGTTCGAGTAACTAGACTTCGATTGGACGCGTGTAATTATAGAAAATAGCTATTCGAAATCTAACGAAGCGGTGATTATATATATATATATACACATGTATATACGAGTATATCGATTGTAACTTTGATTATATTTTTTTTTTTTTATTTAATTAATACAAGAATATTATGCAATGATCGAAGATAAAGTTCGAAAGAAATTCGTTCGATAAAGATATTTGATATTAATATCGAGAAAGGAGGTTTTTAAGTGAAATAACTCGGGCATGGGATGCTCGAAATAATTTTCCAACTCGTTAGAGATGCACGTTAAGCGATGAATCGAGAAAAGAATGCGAGTGGCGATATGAGTTACGGCACCTTGTCCCTTGTAAGGTATCCTTCGATCATCTGGAGCCACGTGTCCCTGTAAATGGAAACACGCCGGCTAAGAATAAACGGGAAGAGCGATGGAACTGAATGGTGATCGAAGACTGCGAATTTTTAGAAACCACGTATATTTTTATCCCTCTTTATATCCCTTGCGCCACGTGTGCGAGAAGATAATAATATTTCCATGGATTGTTATTGATCTTCTTTTTTTTTTTTTTTTGTTTTTTTTCTT